GAAGTGGATCTTTAGAATGTATTGTGTGTCCTGTGAGCATTAGCCGGGATTCGTGCAAGTGGGAACTTGTGACTGAAGTGAAGGTTGGGAAAGAGAGATCCATGGGACAGAGAGTTGGTGAGAGTGCGTTTGTCTTCATATGGGAGGCTGGGCAAGATTTCCTGGTAGAGATGCCTTGAGATTGGAGGGAGACTTGGCTTTCATTAGAGAAAAGGATGAGGTAGGGATGAGAGTGTCCTAGGCTTGAGAAAAATACATGGCCAAAAACCTTGTGGCAGTGACGAGGAGAGAAGGGAGCCTGGGGGTGTCACTAGGCTTTGGTGGTGGTGCGAGAAGTGTGTATGGAAGAGGAGCAGGTTGGGAACGCAGATTAATTATTTTTGGCACATTGAGATCCGTGGGCAGCAAGGAACAGAACCATAGCAGCTGTCGGCCATGAGGTACAGATTTGGGACTCCTCATGTGGAGGTAGCCGGAGCCAGCAGAATGCCAAAGATGCAAAGAAGGGGTAGGGAAGGCAGAAAGCAACATGGATGCTGAAGACCAGCACCTGGATTCTCACATGGTCCTTCTGTAGGGATAGAATTAAAGGTCCCTATTCTTTACATATTATTCAGGAGAAGTTTCAGTGGAAAGCAAAGGTGTGTGAGGTGCCATGAGCTCTTGCAGCCTCTGCCTGCAGGAACACCTTCCGGGGAAGTTGTCTGCCTTTCTCTGCCACTGGTTAAGCCACTCTGGAAGTATCCTATTTTCACAAGTGGCAGAATCCTGCTTTTACAAGTGGGGGGCGGAAGCTGTCATCTGATAGTAACAGTTCACGTAGATGGTGCCCGACTTTGTGCGAAGTGGTTTGCTTAGTGCTTGGTGAATGTCATGTGGCTGAATCTCATGATGACCTGCTGGTGTGGATATGCGTATTGTCTCCCCAAGGCAGAGCTGCAGAAAGGGAGGCTTAGAGAAGCTCTGGAATTTACCTGATGTGCTGCAATGAGTAAGTGGCAGGGCTGGGGTTTGATGCTTTCTCCTGGCAGGAGGTGAGGGGCACCCGTGAGGCTATGGCGTGTCAGGAATGGGGGCAGGATGATGAGACTTCACACAAAAAAGCTATGGCATTGGGACAATACCTAGGAGGCTTGCATTGATTTGAGGCCTTTGAGGCATCAAAGAACAGAAGAGTAGCAGAAGTTCTGGGCTGCTGCTGTCCTTTTGTAGGGGAAGAGGAGGGGCAATTTTTCTAGCAAGGCTGTTTGAACATGTAAGAAGCTCTTCTGCCAGGGTTTTAGTGCAGGTTGAGACCCTTCAGAGGAGACCTTTTGGGGGGGTTCTGTTCTTGGGCGAGAGTTGGCATTACATGCTTTACAGGATTCCTTCCGGTGTTCATTCTGTGATTCTGTGTTTTGAAAGGCCAGTATGCTCCGTGGTGGGAGTTGAGTATAGTTCTGTATTGTTCAGCTTTTTTCCCAGCAGGGGAATTAGGGAGGATAATCATCTCTCCTAACATAAACTAAATTGTCACAGGTTGTACAGGAAGTCTCTTGTACAATGACATTACCCAGCTGACTTACACAGGGCATCTCTTTGCTGTATGGAGTTTATAATTCTTCTCTATGTTAGGCACAGAGTATTATGAAAAACAAACCCTGGGTGTCCGTGTAGTGTTGGAAGTCTCAGTTACGCAGTTTCGTGGCAGGTTGGTGCTGGCTCTGTTTTTCTCATAGGTGGTCCCCTGCCATTGTGCAAATGACACAGGAGCTCTGAGAGCAGCTGCTAGAAGATTGGAGGCACAAACGGTCTGCAATCAGATAAAGAGCCCTCTGTCCCACCCTGCTTCTGAACAACAGGAAGTCTTCCTGAAGATTGCTCCCAGGCCCATCACCCTGTGGGCGACCTCCTCCCCTCCAGCCCCAGCAGTCTGTTCTTTTGACTTTCCTGGCCTTTGTTTTTCTTCCAAAACATCACTGATAATTGTACCAGAGCCTCAGCTCCTCCTCCTCTGCTTCCTCTGCTTCATTAAAGTAGGCTGGGGAAGATCCTCAGAAGTTTGCAGAAGAGTTTCTTCTCCCTGCTTCTTTGTGAGGGTATCATTGCCTAATCCCCCTGAAGACTCCTCCCACCCTTTTTGGTTGTTTTTTAATTGGGATCCTTGGCAGATTGCCTAGTTGAAGGATCATTAGCTGGTGGATGTATTGGTGAGTGTTTTCAGGGGGAAATGTAAAATATGGCTGAAGGTTACTTGTTCAGTTATCCTGTCTGCCTAGTTAGTACATTGGTGAGAAAGAAGATGCTTAATTTTTTTTTTCTGACTTGCAAAAGTCTTGCATGGCAAAGATAGAAAAATTAGCAAACAGAATTGCACATAAAGTAAAGCAGTTCTCTATAATCTCACCACCCAAGAATAAGAACTATTAGCATTTAAGCCTATGTTCCAGGGATTATTGTTGATGAAGAGCTAACTGGACTTGGTTTGGAACCTTGGTCCTGCTGCTTGCTAATTAAGTATGACTTGGGCATCTTGAACTCTCTGAGCCTCAGTTTCCCAACAGTAAAATGGGAACAGCGACAGTCCCCCTCTCATGGTATAGTTGTAAATTTTCAATAAGAAAATGTTTATAAAACCCTTAGCATGATGGTGGACATGATAGTGCTTGACAGATGTTAGCTAATATAATAAAAAATGAAAGTTATAGAGTCTTGCTGTAGAAAGGCAGTGTCCAGATATCTGTTGGAATGATCAGCTGTGTGGAACATTGTTAATCATGCTTTGCCATTCTGCTGCACAGTGTTTTCTGCTTCTTGGCATTGAGGGCCTGGAACCTCTCAGCAGGATGCCTCTTGCTGAAATGAAAGTTTAGAAGACAGCACTCACACTGCTCTGCTGGCCTGGTCTCTCCTGGGGACTAATGCCCATTCACAGGGCAAGCCCAGAAGGAGCATGTTAGTCACTGGATGAGGGGTTATTTCTGTTGTCCCAGCACATACCTGCTCTGTTACATTTGGCAGTTTCCCAGTGTTCTGGGGAATGTGTACACACACAAATTTGGTCTGACTCAAACTTCAAACAAATTATTTTTCCAATAATTAGTTCAAAGGCTGAGAACGTAGCTTGGTGACGGAGTACTTTTGTAGTCCTCAGCACTAGGAAAAAAATCATTTTGTGCATTCATTACGTACAGTAGCCTGCTTTTTCTCACTTAAAGTTGTATCACTATTGGACTGAAGAAATAGCTCAGTGGTAGAGTGCTTGCTAAGCATGCACAGGCTCTGGGTTTGATCCCCAGCACCCCCCACACCTCCCAAAAATTCCAAAAATGTGCTTTCCAGCCCTTTACAATGAAGCTTTTAAATATAAGCTTGCAAGGGAAATATTAATGCCCTTGGTGTTTTCCATTGGTGCCACCTTTGGGGATGTTAAAATACTTTGACGTGCCTTTTGGTATAACATCTAGGTAGTAGGAAGAAATGACACAGTGAGTGACACGCTTCTGGAAAGCAGTACTTGACAGACTGTTGTCCCCCTGCATGCTCTTTGTGTGTCTTTCCTCCAGGCTAAGAGATGCTGACTCTTTTGTTCGACAATTTATTTTGTATTCTCAGTTGCTGTCTGCCTCTATAAATAAGTTGGTGTTCAGTGAAATGCTCTTTATCTTTCTTGCAGTATCTGGGTGGTTTGGGGTGAAAAAATCAGCTTTTCCTTCTAGCATCTCACAAATGGAGAACTAAGCTTTAGTGGTGTTTGCTGTTGGCAAGTGGATTTCTGCTAAGGCAGGAGGATGTTTCCTGAAGTTTTCTGCTGATCATTGCTGCCTAATTCTTCCAAATAAAAATTTGGCACTGAGAAAGCAGTTGAGGAGGAGAGAATATTTTTTTTCATACCATTACAAGCCTTGTGGTTTTTTTTTTTGGGAGGGGGAAATGATTTTTTAGAGAGGGTCCTGAATAAATAGATGGGAAAAGGCATTTGAGGGAGTCTAGATTTGGGGGAGGAATTTTGGGGAGACTTCTGTTAGCCCTGCATCTACGCACCAGGTGGCTGAGGACACATTGGAGAATCAGCTGCAGTCCACACAAGTGCTGTCTTCCCACATAACTGAGTTTGTTTTTTTAAATGTCAGTTTAGCTTTTTACAATTGGCTCCCACTCCTCAATATTTATGGCCCTGATGAAAGCTGTTTTTATGAATCACTTCAATATTTTTGTTGATATTTATGTGTGTGTGTGTGTGTGTGTGTGTGTGTGTGTTTAATGATTTGTGTGCTGTGTAGAAATTTCCTGGAACTTAGAAGCATTTTCTAGGACTGCCTCTGATTCACTGAGTATTCTGGTCAGGGAGCCGTATTATTCTTACCCAAAGACTGAAGGGTGTGAGCCAGGTGCATGGGTCTTTTTCTCTCTGGAAGTTTTTCTTGATTAAGGAGAAAATACATTTAAGTAGCATTTGGGTGAAGTGTATACAGTTTTTGACGTTAAGGCTATTGCAGCTTTGTGGTTGTTGCAGGTTTCCTTTTATTAATTTCATTTTGTTGCTTTGGCACTTTGGCCCAGGCTGGATGGCTTTGCCAGACCCAAGCTTTATAGCAGGTGTTTCCTTCTGACTTAACATTCCCTGAGGCAAGTTGAACATGTTAATGTTTCCTAAGTCAGAGTTTCCAACTCCTTCATCACTGCAAAGTTTTTGGCGGAGTTCCCTGCAGTCTTTATATTCTCTGTTTATTATTGAGGGTCCTCAACTTGTAGAATCTGATTCAGGTGTGGTTTTGTTAGAGACAAATGTTATTGTGGTTGGAATGTGCTGAAATTAAAAACAATGTATGGGAAAAATATTGTTGCATATGTCCTTACTTGGCTCATGGAATTGCCTGCCTGTCAAACGCCTGTTTAAATTTGACGTTTAAGCAAGGCACTTTGGAAAATTGAGCTAAGCTGACTCTTGGTGACTTTTTTTCCCCCTCTTCTAGCATTTCTTTTTCTTCTAACAGTTTTTCTTGTTTGACTTTGTTTAGGATTTCTCAAGAAAGACATGTCTGACAAAATGTCTAGTTTCCTACATATTGGAGACATTTGTTCTCTGTACGCAGAGGGATCGACAAATGGATTTATCAGCACCTTGGGGTAAGAGCATGTGATTTCTCTTGCAGCAAGATGTGTTTAAGACATCATAATATCAGCTTAAAAACTATGATTTTTCAACTATTAGAGAAAAGGATGGGGATGGGAACAGATAGAAGATGGTAAGCGAGGGAAGTAGGGGAAGAGGGTATGATCAAATGTTCCCTGCATACATGAAAATGTAACAATGAAACCTATTATTCTACTTAATTAATATGTACTAATAAAAATCCTGATTTTTCTAAGATAAAATGGTTACCATTTTACTCAGCTTTTCCAAGGCAGTCGAGATCACAAATACCAACTCCCATGTTAGCTAAGTTTAACATTTTATACAAAAACACTGCATCTGTCAGCTTTGAGAGAACAAATGTCATTAGGACTCTATTAATTCAAAAGTTATTATAACTCACTCTTCATATGAAAGGAGAAAAGTGCTAAGAATATGGACTAGAATTTAAAGATTAATGTTTAAAGACCCAGAGAAATATTCCTTAGTTATGTGCAACTGTTCTTTTCAAATAGTGCCTCGAGTGTAGTATAATCAAGGACTGTAACTTCTTGGATGCTTAGGTCTTCTCTGAAGCAGAACCTTTCCTACTTTACATTGCCAAATGCGGTTACTGGGAATTACAAATTGCACAATGTTCTGTAAATCAGAATTTTGCTCATTTGTACTTTAATCTTTATTCATCTTTTTAGGATACAAATGTATTCCGTCATATATTCCTTTGATTATCTTCTTCCTTCTCCTCCTACTTCTGTTGTGGAAGAGAGGAGATGAAAAGTGAAGACCCAAAAGGCAGAAGCAGAATGGAGAATCCAGACAGTAGACTCCAGAATAGTCAGGAATGGTCTTTATGGTCTGTGTAGGACAGGGGAGTTAGGTCTGCGGGGGCATTGTTGAATTTGGAAAGAACTGGTTTCAAATAAACGGGTAGGGAGGCAGGCCAACAGCTTCTCCAAAAATGTTATTCTCAAAGCAACTAGAATCTCTTTTTTAATTATAATTATTTGTGAAACGTGTTTGTTGTCTGGTATTTGGGCAGAGTGAGTACTCCCAGACTCTCACTCAGGTTACTCCACCCTTAAGGAAGAAATTACTTCAGATTCGAGATTATATGTCAATTAGACGTCCAACGCCCATTCATACTGTATGAAAATTTTGTTTTCAAACATCATCCCATAAAAATAAGTCATCTGTTACTACCCCATTAACAAATCCAGTGCTAGTTTCTGCATTTGGCCCCTCTACATTTTAGACCCACCATCAACTTACGTTCTGTAGCTTTTAGCAAATAGGCTTCTTTCTGCGTATGTGTCTCTGCCCCTTTTTTCTTCTTGTCTGTCTCTTTTCTTTTTCTGTCCTCCATGATTGAGTTTTATATCCTCTTCTTCTTTTTCAGCAGTGACTACAATAATATACAGCAGCGGTAAGCACTGCTTGAGCCCTGTAGGTGTTCACTGTGTGCCAGGCATTGTACTAGGTCCTGTGCTCACGGCATAGTCTAAGTCCTTAAACACCTCCTCATGGTGAGCTCTGGTGTCATCACTGGGTATGGTGGCAGCACCTCTGCTCTTGAGAAAGGTGCAGTAACTTGCCCCAGCTTTCATAGCTCAGGAGATTTGGGTCTCCACAGCTAAGGGTCCTAACAGTGACCCTTTGCAGGGAGTTCCTCCCTTCCCTGACTCCCCCACCCCACCCCACCCCATCCCACTGGCTGCGCATAGCCCTGTCTGGATGCTCTGTCAAGCCTCAACCCCACCATGTGCTCGTCCTTCCTCAGTGGTCCCCTTCCCCTAGTCACTCAGGCTGTCTTGCATGCGAGTCACATACTGATCCCCACTGAGCTCCTGGAATCTTAGCACCTCCTTTTACTTCCTCCTTTTCTTCCAGAATATCCATTCTTCCTCTTTTTTTTTTTCCTTACAGTACAGAGGGTTGACTCTGTGGGTGCCCTATCTTTAAGCTATATCCTCAGCTCTTTTTATTTTGAGAGAGGGCCTCCCTATATTACCCATGCTGACCTCAAACCTTTCGTTCTCCCATCTCAGCCATCCAAGTAGCTGGGACTGTAGTGTGTTACCACCCCCAGTTAGGGCATCCATTTAAAAAATTCCTGTGATGTCAAACTCTTTGCCTTATATGTTTTCCCCTAGTGTTATAAACCAATTAATGGAGATTTCGCCCTTCCCATTATAAAGTGAGGATGACTGTTTTTTATACTTTGGGCTGTAATAGTTGTTTCACATGAATGTTTTCCTTTCTTGCACATATTTGAGGCTAATTGATTTGGAAAATTAAGTTTGATCCTCTTTTGTCTTTTATTTTTATTTTTGGTACTGGGGAGTTGAACTCTCAGGGTTTTCTCACAGAGAGCTACATCTCCAGCTCTTTTTTATTTATTATTTTGAGACAAGATCTTACGAAGTTACCCCACTGGGCTTGAACCTTTAATTCTCCTGCCTCAACCTCCCATAGTGTTTTTTCCTTTTAATATGTTAATGTTTATGGATCACCAGTCATGGACTCTGTGAGTGACCGGCAGTCTTTATGGCCCTGGTGTCTGTAGATGAATGGTGGTTACCTCCAAACGGCTTTATTGACTCACTGAGCTTTTAGCACTCCAACAGAACTTGGAGAACCTGTGTGCACACATGTGCTAGCCAGGGGTATGGCTCCGACTCACCTTTGAAATCTGTTAAAAAGAAAGGTTCTGGGGTTTTTTCCTGGAGTATAGCTTAGGTAAATCTGGCGAAGACTGGGTCCTCAGTATATTCAGAAACTGATGAATAGCCACCTACTTGAGAACTCTGAAGACCAATTCTTTCATTTTGCAGACAGAGAAACTGAGACCAAGAGGAGTGAAATGACACAGTTGCAGCATGCTACTATTAGGAAGTGCCAGCTAAAATCTAGACTCAACTGGGACTCTTTCTCCCACTGCTTCCTCCTTGATTGAGAACTTGATGATTAACCCTGCCCTGGGTTGGATTCTGACCCCACCTTTTCAAGTGTTACATTAGCTTTGGTGCCATTACTGTATTTACACTCACAGGGGCCTGGGGTGGGACTCTGTGTGTATATTTATACTCTTGATCTTTGCAAAAAGTCTCAGACTATTGGCCACACTGTCCGCCCTCTTGATGAATAGTGAGGTCTTCTGTTTTGAAGCTATGGGAGGCAAAGTGCTTGCTGGGCTCCTCTGGACACTTTGAATCACCTACAGATGGATACTGAGCTGCAGTCTAGCACATCTTTTGGGCTGCAAAACAGGGAATACAGTGCCCTCATGAAGCTTTTATTCCAGTGTACTTTCAGAGTTAGCCAGGGGGGTTGGGAGGAGGGAGCAGGAGAGGCAGGGAGTTCCCTGGACCAGAAAGGCTTGCGTGTGGGGCATGAAGCTTTATGGAGAAGGCGAGGCTCAGAATCAGGGTCTTGAGCAATATGGTCGGACTTTAGGAGATTGTCTTAGTCACTTTCTCATTGATGAGACACAATACCCAACACCCAAAACTTGAAAGAAGAGAGCCTTATTTTGGCCCATAGCTTATAGAGGTTTCAGTCCATAGTCAGTTGGCTCCAAGACAAGATGGCATGGCAGAGGAGCACAGCGGAGGAGAAGCTGTTCATCTCATAGAATCCAGGAGGCAGAGAGAGAGTGTCGGGGGCGGAGCTGGGAAGGGAGGGCTGCCCCTCTGGGCCATGCTCACAGTGAGCTGCCTCTTCTGACCAGGCCCTTCCTCCTCATGGCTACTGTACCCCATAACCCAGTCACCTCCAGGTTGCATGAGGCTATGAGCATATGAGGCTTTAGGGCGATGTCTAGATATAAACCATAATAGGGATGAAAGGGAATTCTGAAGGAAAGAGCAGTAGGAGTACAGACTGAATATTTAATAGTTCCTTGCCTTTGTGGTAAGAGGCAGCATAGACAAATGGCAAAAAGTACTCCAAACCATAACATGTTCGCTAGGAATAAGTTTCAAGGCCACTTGGAAAATGATCCAGCTCTTCCAATACCAGCTTTAAGAATTTGCACAAGTCATATAACTTCTTTAGGTCTCAGTTTTATCATCTATTCAAAATAGTATTTGTAGTGTTTTTTTTTTTTAAGTGCTGTATAAATTAGATGGACCAGTCAAGATTTTAAATATGTAATTTGGGACTCACAATTTTTTTGTATATTCTCCACTAATTGCTTATGAAGCTCCAAACCCTCTTCCTATCTGTGCATTTGCACTGGGTTCCTGACATGTGAAAACGCTCTGCGCTTTTTCCTCCCTCCTCTGTTTCTACCCTTCCAGTAATTCCAGTATAACTTCCCTGTCTGCAGCTTTTCATGTGATCTCAGGCACACTTCATTGCTGGCTGTATTATTTTATTCCTTGTCTTATAGCCCTTAGGTTATACTATCCTTATCAGCTTGCTTTTAGGGCTCCAGCAATAGCCTTGCGTGCCCTAGAGCTGAAGCCTGGCTCATCTTCGTGTTCCAGTGTCTGGCACCAATTGGCTCCTCAGCTGTGATTAGTTGAATACATTGACCCATTGCTGTGTCTTCTAACTTAGCAATGCTACATGTTGTGCTCAGGTCTGAGTGTGGTTCAGGGTAAAGGAGCGACAGAAATCAGTAGCTCAGTAGGTCCAGAACCTGGGGTTTTGAATTATGTTTAAGTCCACGCATAGGGGACCTCTGTTGTAAATAGTCACCCCAATAGTCAGTCTATTGGGTGACTGTGGCAGTCTAAATTATGCACAGGGAAAACCCAGGGATATTTGATTTTTGCATAGTGCTTAGGGTTTTATTTTCCAGACTTGGTTTGATACAGCATTTATCTGTGTCTTCTTTGCAGACTGGTTGATGATCGTTGTGTTGTGCAGCCGGAAGCTGGGGACCTTAATAATCCGCCTAAGAAATTCAGAGGTAAGATGGTGGCCTTTCTGGAGTGGCCATCTCAACTCACTTGAAAATTCTTGAAAGGTATCACTGTGTATGTGTGTTTTGGTTTTGATAAGCAATGAGAATTTATTTACCTATGTGGCTGCTTCAATCTGTGTTCAGTTCCTGGCTTTATAACTTTCTGGAAAATATATAAATAAATTTAGTGTTGGTGTCAAGATGGGATGGTTTTTTTTATTAGGTCCTTAATTTGTCTGTCAGATGCCTGTTGGTAAGTGCCAATTCATTGATGCAGATATTTCTCCAAACAAATAGGTTTTATGGATCTAGTTACAAGGAACATTGGCTCTTCCAGCAAATCTCACTGTGCATTTGGAATACTGATACTCCTAGATCCCCTCAGTAGAATGAGACATTCTTTATGACACATTTGCTTTTGAGTTAAAAGAGGTAGATCAACTTTCCTACCAGTGTTTGCTTTCTTTTTAGACCTCTTGCTTTTGGTGTCTTCCTTGAAAGATAACTGAGTTTACTGCAGAAGGTATTTAAAATATAGTTGCTATCTTCGGTGATAAACACTTTATTTTATTTTTTTGTGGTCGTGGTAGTTAATGACTTGATGTAACATTAAATGAATTCTCAGGGTCTTACTCTAGAGCAATTAAATTAATCTCCAGAGGTTGAGGTAGGGGTATTAGCATTTTTAAAGGCTTCTCGCATGTATAGCTAAAGTTAAGAACCCACAGAGTTAGGTATTTGACTCATGGCCTCAGACTCAAAGGACTCAAGCTTTGAGGTGCAGATTATATCATTTTAGTTATAAATTCTTCATGCTGAATAATTTAGAAATGGACTTTTTGGATGAAAGCTAAAGAAGTTAGAGTAGAATAGAAGGCAGACATTCGGATGGAAAGAAGCCATTTGGAAGATGTTTGGTGTTGAGCATCTAGTTGGCATATCAGGAGAATGTTTTCACCTGAGGATTAGGGGAAACTATTGTTTTTAAAAAAGACTTTGATGTAGGCAGTCCCTGGGTAATGGGCACCTGAGGTAACTGTCACGTCTTCTACCTGTTTCTTTTTCCAGAACAAAATTTTGAGTGCACAGGCTGTGAAAGATTTGACCCAACCATAATAATGTAGTCTTTCAGAGAACTAATTCTTCACTCCATGGTTAACGGACTGTGTTGCTCGCTTTGCTGAGGCTGCTGCCTGCATTAGCTCAGGGAATCATTACCTGAGGAGGGCATGGATGGACTAAGAGTGAAGTATTTCTTCTGGGGTTCCACGGCTGGGGAGGGGTGGAGTAGGAGTCTGGTTCTCAATTTTTGGCTGCACAGGGAAATCACCTGGAAAACTTTTTAAAATACTGATGTTGAGCGCTATGGTTTTTGAAAGCTTTCCATGTGATTCTCTTATCTCTCCAAGTTTAGGAAGTGCTGCTAATAGTAATGAACTATAAACTATCAACTTCACTGCTCAGGGAAGAGCTAGTCAGGCTTGATTTTTGTACCTGGGACCAAGTGGAGGGATGTATACATTTCTTCACATTTTTGTGGTCAGAGCACTTAAACTCTTGAGACATTTTAAAGTATACGCTATATCGTTGCTGTTGGTAGTCACCGTGTTTGTAAGTAGATCTATTGAATTTATTCCTCCTATCTAAATGAAATTTTGTCTTTGACTACATCCCCTCAGTGTCCCAACCCATCCCAGCCCCTTGTCACTGCCATTGTAGTCTTTGCTTCTATTAGTTCAGTTCTTTAAGATTCCTCATGTAGGGCTGGGGATATAGCTCAGTGGCACAGCGCCTGCCTGGCAAAAGCAAGGTCCTGAGTTCGATTTCTGGGACCAAAAAAAAAAAAAAGATTCCTCATATAGGTGAGATTGTGCAGTATTTGTTGTTCAGTCCATGGCTTATTTCACTTAGTGTCCTGCAGTTGTTATCAGGAACGAGCCAGGGGCTTTGAATACCCAGTCAGAACATTCAACTAAATAGGACCATAGCAGGGGAAGTCGGAAGAGATATGTTTTCCTAGCACTAGGTTAAAATTGTCTCATGCCGGGATGTATAGCTGGTGGCTGATTTGAAGGGATTGTCTGTAGATAAAAGCAACAGTCTGATAGAGGCTGTTTGGAAAGAACCAAAGTCCACCTATGGCCTGGCCTGGTTCTACCGGTGGTCATTTGACAATAACTTGATTTGTTGACTATGTCTCTCCATAATTTAAAAATAAAGTTTTCTAGATTGTGAACTGCTTTGTACTTATGGGAAAATCTGGTTCAGAAAAGCCTGTGCTGCAGGCTGTGTGGATGTGGGTCAGGGCTTCCTGGCCTTTGTATGCTGAACTGGGGGTTCACTGTTCCCAGGTGAGAAGCCCAGGCAGGTAAACCTGGGCAAGCTGCTGCAGTGCTGGAGAGGTTGGTTCCTTCATGACGAACTTGGGCAGTGGGTATTTAAGATGTTTTTCAAAGTATCCCTTCAGCTGTGGTATAGCATACTTAAAAACTTTTTTCCTAAATTGAAGAAAAGAGATCTCTTGTTTGGAAGAGATTGCTGGCTTTCCAGATGTAAGTATGTTTTGAAGTTAAAATCATTTTGATGTTTAGACATTGTGCATTGGGCAGTTGGGCGATCTGGAGGCATTTCTAGCCTATTTCCATGCAGTGTCATTGCATCCTGGAGTTTAACAAACCCATGTGGAAGAGAGGGGTGCTGGCGAACAGCCCAATAGAATGGAGTCTTTATCTAAACAGTCTGCAGAGCTACATTTAGTCATTTGGGTTTGCTCTTGCTTCCATTGTTTCCTTGCCAAGTGATTTTCTATATTGAGAGCCATCATAACCTGTTCTTAAGTAAATGGAAAGCAGAGGCCAGTTGATGCAGTGCTGGCCATGACTTCTGACCTTGGGGTTCTAATTTTGTGTGCTCCTCCTCAGAGCTCAACTTTGCTGGTTAATAATGTAGGTCCTTGAACCAGGTTCACATACAAGTTCCACTCATTCTTACCTGTGTGACCCTGAACAAATTACTCGACCCTTGTGAGTCTTGGATTTCTCATCTGTAAAATAGACTGACATAATCTCTACCTCCTAAAGCCATCATGAAGATTAATTGTGTGTTAAGACTTTAGTGCTTGATGAAATCCTGTCAGTTGTAAAAATGTGGAGGGACCTGGAGGACATTATGCTAAGTGAAATAAACCAGGCACAGAACAAATACCTTACTCATGTGGAATTCTAAAAAGTTGATCTCATAGAAATTGACAGTAGGACAGTAGTTCCCAGAGACTGGGAAAAGCAGCAGTAGGAGAGAAGGAGAGAGATTGGTAGTGGATACAAAATTACAGTTAGGAGAGAGAAGTTTGGTTATGTCCTGTTGTACAATAGAGTAACTGTAGTTAATAATAATGTGTTATATTCTTCTTTTTTCTTTTTGCCTTTTTGAGACAGGTTCTCGCTATGTAGTTCAGGCTGGCCTTAAACCCATTATGTATTCCAAGCTGGCCTTGAACTCGTGGCAGTCCTCCTGCCACAGTGCTAGGATTATGGGTGTCCCCACCATGACTGGCTGGCATTGCATTGTATATTTCAAAACAGAAGAAAAGATTTTGAATGTTTTCTACAGGAAGAAATTAGTGATAAAAGACTATGGCTGTGTCTCAGTGGTTGAGTGCTTGCCTAACATGCGTATATGAGGCCCTGTGTTTGACCACTAGTATTGCCAAAAACTAAACAAAAGAAATAGTAAACATTTAAGATGATGGATATACTAATAACCCTGATGTAATCATCATCCAATGCATACATGAATTGAAACCTCCAGACATATGTATAATAATTATGTGTTGATCAAAAATTAAAACAAAAAAAGTTAAAAGGTAAGAGTTTAGTGCCAAGGACATCTGGTCTTTAGTCAAGGGCTCAGTAAGCTTTACCTTTTATCTTCTCATTCCTAGTAGTTAGAGCCTAGCACTCTCAAATGGTAGTAGAAGGGAAGGAGTTATAGTAGAATCCTTCAATGATATGAGAATAATTTTACAGTGTATTGATACCCTTTTTGTCTTTCAATGCTTTGTAAGTAAGAGCCTACACATGGAACCATGGGCCTAGACTTGAGGCCGTTGCTTCCCTGTGCAAGTTGAGTGACCTTGAGAGAGATGTAATTTTTCTGAGCTTCTTTCTCCCTGTGTAGAATGTGGGAACTAATTCTTCCCTTAGAAAGACAATAGGATTAAAACTGATATGGATGAAGAGCCTAACAGAGTACTTGGGACATGGTTGTTTCTCAGTGGTTAGTAGCTGTATCTTTTCCAGTAGATGAGGAAGTTAAAAATTGAACACAGTTGTTCAAAGTGCATGTCTAAAATTATTTTTAAAAACTTTCCTTGACTGTATCTCCTGCCTTAACTTTATCTAGAGGAAAGAAAGGTTGGCTGCGCATCTATTTCACATAAATCAAATCTTTTTCATCATCTAAGTGAATTTTTGACAGTGTCATTTCCCTTTGTGCGATGAGGAGAGCTGAGATGTAGAATAAGTTTTGGTTCTTCTGTCAATATGATATCATTTTAAGCACCAGCGTCTGTGGGAGTTAAGACTTATCTTTTCTCCATGATTTGTATTGGCTTTGCCTATAATCCTGAAAGAATAGGGAAGGCAAACAACCATCAGATTGAAACGTGGAATAGAATTCTTTTCTCTATATTATCTTTTCCTCCTCCCACTCCTACCCATCCCTCCACCTCAAGATGCTAAACAGAAAAGGCATCTAAGAAAGGATAGTAACTGACAGTCCATCTCCACTTTGATTCCAGAATCTCTGCTGTTTTAAGTATAACCTCTGGGTGGTTGAAGTAGAAACGAGAGAATCTTGAATTTGGGGAAATATGATAAGTTTTAGAGTTGATCATGCCATTTGTTGTGTAATCTTTTTCCTTTTTCCTTTTTTTTTTTTTTTTTGAGATTGGGGCAACAGTAAAGTTCTTGTCCTTAAAAACCTGACCTTCTCCATTCACTTTAAGG